CAAATCCCTCCGGGACATACATTTACGTGTTCTGCTCCTCAGAATTGACTTACTCTGGTTTTTGGGTTGGAAGGACTTCTGTTCCGATGCTTGCGCTACCAGTGTGCTCAAAGTCCTTGTAAACATATCCCAGGCCAAATCTGGGGGGCATTCGAATAAGAAAGTCCAAGATGTATCCTTAACAAGCTTGGACAACACATTGTAGTGCGTGACAGTGTGCACTTTATCCTCCTCCTTTTCCGGGTACTCGGCATAGCATATATAATCAAAGAGTAGAGTGACATGATCACTACGACCCAGTGGTGTGCTTGTAACTATCCCGCCAACCATGAGTTCTTCGTTAGTTAGCACAAGATCTAGTATCGACGGCTTGTTAGAAGTTCGAAATCTGGTGGGAGAGGTTACGTGGTTGTAAAGAGGGTGGATAGCAATAAGTTCTTGCAAACAGGCTTTAAACTGCGTACCGTCAGTTGCCGGCGTTTCTATGTCGTGCACGTTAAAGTCTCCCGCGATAAGAATGTGGGTGTAGGACTTGTTCAAAGCAAACTGAAAAACGTGGTACAGTTTGGAGTCCATTTCCGACGTTGAGTTTGGCGGGCGATAAACCACGGCTAGTAGACATGTGTCCTTGTTTCGCAACCAAAGGCGGCACCAAAGCGAATCGGGAGCTCGGATTTCTGGGTGATCGATAACTTCACATCGGAGGCTTGTATTATAGTAAAGAATCACACCGCCACCCATTCCGGTTCTATCGGTCCGAAGCAGCGACATACCGGGTAACTTGATCTCACGGTCGGTTATCTCAGGGTTTAACCATGTCTCTGTAATCATGACGAGGTCTCGTGGTTGTGAGGCATGGAGTTCTCTAAGTTCGGCCAACTTGCTTCGAAGGCCTTGAGCGTTTGTGTACATGCAAGATAGGGCTTTTGTGGTTAGGAGTTTATTGGTGGATGTCAAGTTTGTGATCGCTTTTAAGCCGGCCGTTAGGTGGCCGGCAATTAATCGTTTTTTGGTTTGTGTATTTCAGTCGTGTTACATGACATTATTGAACGTTCCTGAACTGATGGTTCACTCGTGCTGTGCTCGGTCCTCCTGTGTGACGTGGGCGCTGTTGTGTCGATCTCTCCGAAGGACTGTGCAAATAAAGAATTTGCAGGATTTGCAAGTTCCATCGAATTCCTTCCGACTTTTGGTCGTTCGCCTGCTGCCTTTAGCCGTATTTCTGTTGGCAACCTAGCTCGAAACTTTAACCAGCTATCCAACAGAACTTGCGCCATTCCCTCAGAGTGTAGTATTACCTTCATTAGCCTAGGACCGCAGCCCTTGTAGTTAGGTGACAACGGAACTCTTGTTAGGGATTTGGCAATAACATTGTTAACACAGAGTGCTTCGCGGATGTAGCACCACTGTTCTCGGTCATGTGTATGTGCATCGTGATCAAAAGCATGCAGGAGCTCGGGAACACCATGAATAAATATTGTTTTCTTGCTATCCCTAGTAGCAATACCGCGTTGCTCCACTGCTTCTTTTGTGCGGTCTTTCCAAGGTAGCTCAGGTAATATGCGCACTCCGCTCGGTGAGTTGCGAAGACGAACTGCTGAGAGCAGGACAGCCTCTGTCTCATCTGCTGAGTTTAGAGTTACTCGAAGAATTCGAGGTTCACCAGAGTGCACTGAGGTCGGGTGACGTGCTACGCGTTGCAGCATTGCAGGCTCAACCCGAATACCAATCGCCTCGCAGATGGAACTCCACTGGTTGCGATCGTCTTGCAACTTGCCTTTTATTGTGCCAGATTTGGATTCGGGAACATTGGTGCACACGAGAGTTAGCGCAGCGTGGTTTTGTCTAGCAAGTGTTGGCTTTATACTTTTTGTCGGCAATTCAGGTTGTTTAGAGGGCACCACTGGACTTGACGGTGAAAGCTGCTTTGGGCCACGCGTGCTCGGTACTGAAGATGAACTTGTTTGTGTCGCTCTCGGTGTGTTTGTGGATGCAATCGATGCGTACGTTACCTGTTTGTTATCTGCACCGGATTTCCTTCGGCTGTGAGCTATCGGTGTCATGGCTGGATCTCCAAGTGAAGCGTCTATGGTTGGAGAAGTGGAAGCAGGCATGTTTGAGGCTTGCCCACTGATGGGAGTGAGGTGACCCAGTGGGTTTAGAGTCACAGAGGCTGCAGTGCGGTTGGATCGTCTAGCTCTTTTCTTCGGTTTGGACGCAGAACTAACTTTGACCGGGTGAGGTATTATCGTGGCCATATTTACCTCCGAGGGAGCGACCTTAGTATTTACAAATTGTGCGATTATTTCAGTCATCCTATCGCATTTTTTCATTAGCAATGATAAACAGTTGACAACTGGAATCACTTGACATGATGGGCAAAACCAAATTGTGTCAGCAACTTGGTTTGTCTGTCTCACTTCTTGGACAGATTTGCCTGCACATTGCGGGCAGTACGATTTAATGCAGCTGGAACAGGTGATACTGATCTTAAGGACTTTAATGCAGTTGTCTGCACAACATAGGCGACGCTGAACCATAGGAATGCTAGTTGTCCTCTTGTTTACAACAAAGCCTTGGTGAGTGTATTTTGCGCTAGGGGTGACGCACGAATCGGGGATGTTAAGCTTAGTTGTGTCTACGTGTCGGCCAGGACGCCAAAGCGGCAAACATCAAACGTACTTGGCATACGTGAACGGAAGTTTACAGCCATAGTGTCAGTGTGATGGAGCGTGGTTGACTTACGAAGATGACCATAACATTAGTAAATTCTCTCTGGTCAGCCAAGTTATCTCTTCTGATTTTCCAGACTGGGTTGGACACGACACCAGGCAGTGAGCAGAGACAGCTTAGCGTTACGACGCTGAGCGTTTACGACATATTTTTAGCCATTCGCCCAAGCAGCTTAATTATGGCAGACATAGTGAATGCACCTCACTTTGGAGATTATTAACTGGTAGCATTAAAGGAACTGAGCTACTCAAAGTAAGACTGTCAACGGAAGCAGGATTAAGTGACTGGCCACTTTGACCTTGGCAGACGCTTGTCCACGGTGCAGTACAACAGTTCCTAAGCAGTAACCTTAGATGCTTAGGTCGTTAATCAGCGATGCCTCGAAGGTATAAGTGAGTCGTACACAAATAAGAGATCGAATAGTAATGTGTCTCAGAACTTGTTCAGAAGAAGCAAAAGAAGCCCACCACTTGCTGGTTCGCCAGCTTTCCCGACCAAGCCATGCGTACGCCCACACCCAAGTGAGCCGACTTGCACAACAACCCACAAAAGTCGAGCTGCGCTTTGTATTCTTGCATTCTGCGACAAAAATGTATAAGTATGCATGATTACGCCTCTATCATGTTCAGAGAACCTTGATCGAAAAGCTCTGCTTCGGTATGCATGAGTGTTGGTGAATTATCTCTCAGTCCCAGTCGCTACACTGCAAATGACAGAAATGTTTCTGAGTACGCAGGCGATGTTGACACGTATTGACAACCTCCTGATGTCCTCAGACAGATGCAGACCTACGCCGCAGAGCCATTTAAACTGAGCTTTAATCCTATAGAGAGCAAATTTTCGTGTGAAAGTTCACACATCCTTTCTCCCAACTAATCCTTAGGTAAAATGCTATTAGTCGGACGTGTGAAAGCAGTATGGTCACTAGTTCAGAGAGGTTTGGAAACAATCGGTTAGTATAGTATTTTGGTAACATTTCGCCTTTAACATAAAGGCTTCGTCAGACCAGGTGAATCAGTGTGCAATTGGTGTGGGATTTTATAGCGAACAGGGGCGATAACAGCGTTACTCGAGTCTTGAGCCATGAGTCATTACAGGAACAGTTCGGGATGTCACCTCAGGTGGTTTAAACACAGTGAGAATAGTCCAGGTGTTCCTTTGTGCGTCATGACATTGACGGATAAGCCCATAGTGTTGACAATGGGAGTCGATTTGCACTTTTCAATCTGATCCACGCATCGATGCTCGTCAAGCTCGCCGGCCTAAAACCGCCCGCCATGCATTAGGGAATTCTACCCCCTCAATTCTATTCACGCAGTCATCAGATTTGGCAATTTCCACCGCCTCGGCAATCAACCGCTGGGATGTTGATCGTATGCCCTCCTAATGACCTCTACGTTTTCGAGGTCTGTCTGGTGACCCGTGTCTAATGCATGCACAGCTACGGCTGAGTCTCTTACTATCGCCTGGTATTCGAACTCGTTTCTTGGTAGTCTTGCAATGCGCCTCCTATGCTCCGAAATTCGTGTGCGTTATTCTCTCGCTGTTTGGCCTATATACACATGTGCACAGTCTTTACATTTTATTTTATAAACACAGTTAGTCGTCCTATCCTTGGGAAGGGGGGTCCTTCAGGTGTACCAGCGCCGAACGTAACGTTCGACCTCGCTGAAAGATCCCCCTTATATTTTCCTTGTTTAGTACCCTCCGAATTGCCTCGGAAGTGCCTTTCTTGTACGGAATTCCGACCGTCCCTATCCACTCGGCTGTGGGTCTTGACTGCCGGTGTAGCACTTTATGCAACTGACGTTTAACTAGTCGCTGTGGGTAACCACTTTCTAATAGTTTGCTCATTGCCACTTTCCGCGCAGCCTTTTTGTCCTCCCCCATCGTGCACAAGGTTTGTGCCCTGTAGAACAGCGTTGAAGCTATCCCAGCGTAAACCTGTTTCGGATGACCCGATGTGTAGTGGAGTACGCTGTCAGTATCCGTTGGCTTGCGTTCTATTCTCGTCAATAAATTTCCCTTATTCCTGTGAACCAGGCAGTCAAGAAATGGTACTGTGCCGCTACAAGATTCCAACTCAATGGTAAATAGTATTCCCTCATCAATGGAGTTTAAGTGATCAAGCCATTCGTCTTTCTTATCCTTTTTAACAAGTACAAAGGTGTCGTCTACATAACGCTGGTATGGACACTAATTGTTTAAGCTAAGTTAACTTCGGCCGCCTGAGTGTGTACAACAGTAGTATGGAACAAAATGCACTGGAAGGATGGTCATCAATCCATTCTTTTTCGTAAAACAAAGCAGAGACATGTAGTGAATGCCCCGTGAAGAAAAATAGTACTTCTGATGCCAAGAAAAGGGTTTTGCAAAAATTGTTTGTAAATCTTTGGCAGCCGTGCTTGATGCTGAAAGAGTAGAAAGTGGGTAATTAGCATTACGAGTGCGTAAAACAGGTTTAAACAATAATATTCATTGTTGTCAAGAGTCGAGTGCGAAAAAACTGTCTACACATAATCTACTAAAGTGACAGATTGGTGTTGGATACCGTACTGCGTGGTATAAGGGAAAGCTTCCTGCGAACTAGAATGTTGAAAGTAATCGCTAACCGATCAACAACCACCACAGAGGCGGCGGCCCCATCGTAGACTGTGGCGAGGTAACCAGACCCTTACTCGTGACTGCCTGACTGTGAATCCTTACATTCCTGGTGACAATGGGGCAATTCAATTGGAAATGAGTGGAAAAGGAGCGACAAGATCGTGGGCGAACTGCATCGCGATTCCGTTTGGGCATTACCATATCTGTTACCAAGCCTCTGAGCTCTGGTCACACACCGACTGTTAATGTCACATCTGGTCACTGAAATTCAGCAAACAGCAGACGTGTGGGTACGCTTTCACAAACCTTCAAACCCTTGTTTACGAAGTGGACAGGTAGCCTATGGACTATCACTCACATCCGTACATCTGTACGTTCATAGGTTCGTTTGTACTGTTGTAGACTCTCTCAAGGATTCAGACAAGCAGCTGTTTAAAATCTGGCCTTATAAGGTTGACGCTGAACCGTAGCGGGATCACTGCTACCACACCGATGAGAATGTTTGTGTCCTCATAAGCTGTGCGCTGTTCATGGAGACTATTCGAATTCGGGACGCGGAAAAAATCAAATTATGCATGATGCATCGTTAACTCTTGTCCATTAGATCAAATATAAAGATTGCTCGTACAACTGTCGTTTCCTCTAAAGCAGTATTACCTTCGTTTCAGGGTTTGATCAATCCTGCCACTTCGTGACAACCGCTCAGCTTTGTTTCTGACCAGTACAAGTTTCCCATAAATAAGATGGGTCAACTACACCCTTGTTGGTATAGGATATACAGTGCGTGGGTATTTCGGATTTAAAGGATATGGTAAACCCTGCGTCTCTTACAGGTACCCTTAACTGATTTAATGACTGAGCTGACAAAGTGCAGGTGAGTGGAAAATCGCCGCAGTTTTAGTTGTCGCCTCTAGTACAACGTTCGCTCGTTTGGGGATCAAAGAAGCAAGTCGATGGGAAAGAGGGCCGGATCCTATCACAGTGTCTCGAGTACTGACTTTATGGACACTTAACTAGCTCATGAAATGGAGAGTGACGAACCGATAGGACGTTCTCGCCTGCTCTAGAATCATCTTACGTGCGCCACGAATTGATTAACCGATGGGTCTAGTTGTGGCAGCTCGAAATACAGGCGGTTTCAGGGAAATTACTTTGTAGACTGCTGAAACTGAGGTCGTGTGACCGTTGTGAATAAATCAGTTATACTGTAAATAGTATCATTGAAGGGCGTGATAATATTCGTTGGCTGGCTGTTCACAGCACCGTGCATTATTCTGTCCAGTCGCCCGATATTAAACTGTCGATCATGTGTCGATCTGTCAATCAATAATCTAAACGTTCAGCTTATGATCTGCTGATAAGCATGCACAACATACGATGTCTGCGGTTGTTATCGCTCATGGGGTAACAATCCAATCATACCTTTGTGCCACTTCGTCCAATTGTAGCTGTGTGGGACACCTTATGTCCTCCAAATGTAATGCTATGGCTTTTGTATTTCGTCTCGAGTCAATTGCTGGCCGCATAACTGACGGTTTAAGTTGATACCCAGTTCACGGGCATGATGGTGCTCGATGTGCTTCTCTAATTGCGAACATTTCTGACCAGACGACAGATATCGGTTGACAGACAAAATGAGCAGTTGTACATTCCGCTGGGACGAATCAGTCGGGCAGGAATACTCGAAGATCGGTACCTGGCACAGCCTCCAAGTTTAATCCGTAGTTTCAGGCCTTAGTTTAGATCAGGCTGGTTGGCATGAGCTCAGAACCACAGGAAAACGACAAAGGCCGAGGGTGTAATATACCAACAGATACGCTATGGCACTGTTAGTGCAGAGAATCCCTAAGGTAGCGCTTCTCTCCCCGATAATATTGATGTACAATGAGACATTTAGTCTGGCGATTTCATCACTCCCAGGTGCATTACTTTGTATCAGAGTTCAAGCAAAGAAATCAAACTTAGAGATTGGGTAGCAACAACAATCACAATGAAAGCTACATCGCTTAAATAAACAACCGTTCAATGTCCCCTTTTGGTGCCGACGAAAGACAATCAATGTATCTTTGAGCTATCTCGCTGTGCGGTGCGTAAACCCAAGTTGGGAGGAAGTGGCCCAACCGATAGCGAAATAGTATATGCTTCTTAAGAAGCACACTTCCAAACATATTTCTCCCCACTGCATTAAACAGCCGCATCGGGTTGATGAGTTGTGTACAGTTGCTAAGTGTATCCGCCTGTGGAGAGTAGACAATCATTTGAAAGAGTTCCATCAATCCGTCTGATAGTCTACGTAAACCACAGCTCATATCTGCAACATCCAGAGGGAACGGCGGTTACAAGTTAATTGTCCACTCAGACTGGATGGTTAAAGAGTATAGCACTGAAAATAAGGGCCAACGATCGGTCGCGACTGCAGTAAGAGATTTCCCAAGGTGAAAATTTGCTAAAGGACATAGTATCAAATGAATGAAGATTAGTTGCTCGTAAATCAACTTAGCTGACATGATAGCTCGAACCCTGATACGTCCTATGGCATTCCTGAGCACCATACTGTAGCAAGGAAGCTAAATTTATCGACTCCCTAGGATTGGAAGGTTACCGACATTGTTATGATATTTTGAAAACGATCATGACGGACGACATTTGGTACTAACGTAGCTCTGGATAGAAACGCGTGAATCCAAATCTGCTCAACAGCATTTCAGGACAAAAACGAAAGCGTCGATACTTTGTGTAAGTGTAAGGTAAGATGATGTGAATATAATGCACAAACACTTTGGAACCTCACAGAAAGGCTGGCATTAAATTAACTTGAACCAAGGAGTTGCAGACAGACATAACGAGGAGTGGATCAGTGTTTTCATTCTAGCAGCGCTTTTACTTGTGGACACGCAATTTCCGAGTAAGGAACAGATGTAATCTAACGTAAAACTACACTCGTGTGCGCACGTGACGCAAATAAACAGTGCTAACACGGGTGGCCAGTAAGTATACTGGACTTGTGACCCAAGTGGCCTTAGTACAGCGAGGAATCTTGTCCCACCAGTTGGATGATGGTTCGCTGCGCCCTCCATCTAGATCTTTCGCAAAGTCGAAATAGGAGAAATGGTGGAATCCATCTGCTCAGAGTAGCCAGTTTAAACTTTAAGCTCCGATATGTAGTTGTGATAGCAGAACTCCAGACAATTTTGTCTCCTGATTTATAATGCGGTATATCGTTGTGGAAATCCCTGTCCACAAATATTCCCTACAGGAATGAAATTGGGGCCTATCAAGGTGTGGTAGGTTATTATTCACGACTTATTTACACATACCAACTGTAACTCATAGATGCAGTTAATAAGACGGAATAAAATCCAAAATTACCTGTTATTGGTCTACCAACCGTTCTGTCTACTCAGCATGGCTGAGACACTATCCGCAAGTGAAGCTTCTAACAAGATCAGTAGTGGTGTGTACAATGGCCCGTTAAGCAACCAATCTGCCCATTCGCCCCAATCAGATCTTTCAACCTCTCCCTCCGGATCAGTTACCGATCGGTGATTCGGCTCCGGCTCGAAAGTAATCCGACCGAGTCTCTCCACAGATAATTTAGCCAAGTCCAGCTTGACCTTGCCGGTTCCATTCAAAAGCAAACTGAGGGTGATGTTTATAGTGAGTTCAGATAAGGTGATTGTCACATTACTAGGCCCGAAAGTCATTAGAAACGCAGAGACGGTCATCAATCCCCGTAGCTGCAGAGGTCCAGTAGTACCTAGGCAGAAATTAAGATAGAGAACATCACCAGTCTTTTCGTCTCTCTTCTTCATCCATTCCGGGATAGTGACGCCCATATTGATTTGCGTGTTGTTCGACTTTCGCCATATCGCTTCATGATCCAGATGCAGATCACACGTGCGCTGAATGCTTTTGAGGCCAAGCAGTTTTCCATCAAGCAACTGGAAAATTCCACCGCTGACATTCCCAAGTATAAATGGGTCATGAAGGGATGCAACGGCACGATTGATCATGTGGTCAAGTAGTAACTCAAGAAAGTCCGAGCACACTCGTTCGGTTTGGACTTTGGTTATGTTCTCTTCCGAGTGAATTATCGAAGTGTTGGTGACCGATGTACATCTCACTTTCGCGCAGAAGATCAGGGCTGTAAATTAGTAGACACAAAATACAGTAAAAAAATTAGGCTCCAGAGTAGACTTTGATTTAAATTGGCTAAAAATGAGCCATACTTATCGGTCAAACTACATCGCAGGCTGCCACATATGAGCACAGTGGGAGATGGGATCCTGGGACCGCATGCCTAAGATTGGTTTCCATCAAGTCTACCTTCACGTTTGCCTCTGCAGTCGTTATTATCTCCACTGGAGTGCTTCAGCGATCTAACATGACTTCCACTGAGCACCGCTTGAAAGCGCAATCCTCGTGCTGCTGACGGGCCAGTATCTGACTGGTACCAGCATCTTTAGCTAATAGGTAATGCCAATGACCGTGACAGAAAACATGTTTCAAAAATAAACCCCTTTCGTTCAGTATACCGTGAAGGAAACACGAAGTGTCCGAGATAAAAGTTGCCATGAAACACTTTCATTCTAGTTTGGTGTACCCATCGTGTGGTTGGATTGCGACAAGCAAGCTCTATTGAGAATTCGGTCATTCCGATCACTAGTACGGTATCCGAAGTGGAAGGATTTCATTGTTGGGAGGGAGAACTGCCTGAACCCCTCCATTTTATTCAAGTAATGTCATTTGAAGCACCTGTCGTGTGGATGCACTATAACCTTTAAGCTACATCGGAGCCTCTACTTTGAGGTGAAAAGCAGTCACTATTCGGAGAAGATAAAAGTCAGGAGATATTGGCTAGACACTCGTCATGTAAAGGGACAACGATTCAAACCCGGGACCATTGGGATGTCATCCCAAACTCCTACACCTAAGCCACCAGGTAGCGGGCTGGCAACACCTGTCACAACGCTTAATGACTCGCTGGAGAGGTCATTTTGAATTACTTGGTGTGTGAAGGGTTAGCGATACGCAATTTTAACATGGATAGCCATCCATCGTAAATTAAAGCTTAGTTAAGCCGGTCACTGGGACACCATCTGAAGCAGACGAATGCAAGATGTGTCCTGTTTGCAACACTAAATGCCGCGACCGGTATGGCACTTGCATGTGCGCGTCCGGTAGAGATGATGGAACGGTGAATCGGCCCCGATGGGAAGCCGTGACTATCAGCTGATGCCTTTACGCGGATGACCCCAGTAGTGTCACGCACTCAAACAGTCCGTTTATTCTACTTGAGGCTAATGCATTATTCGGCAATTCTCTTACAACATTGTCATCGATGATGCCGAAGCATGGACAGTTTTGCACACGGCGTTGAAGAAACACACAGTGTGATACATCAAGAACAATGGTATAATCCGGATAAATAAAAACCAAGGCTTGACGAGTCCCGTAGGATGGTTTGTGGGAATAACGTTAGTACAGAGAAGTTGCACAAAAGTGGAAAAAATGTATCAGTGGACTCACCATATTATCCACGTCAACACAAAGGTAGATCGTCTACCTCGATTTCGTGGGGCTGGGGAGAACAATGTTTATCTGCGTCTTGTCGCCACTCAATAAATAGAAATCAGATCAAGTAATGTGAATGGTGCAAAGCACCGTTGAGTCGTTTTTAAAAATGGGTAGCATGGGCGTGGAAATAACAAAAATCGAAAGTGCGCTCCACGGTGGACAAACTCGAAGGAGAAAGTAATTCCGGCGGCATTGCAGCCCACTGTATTAGGTGGCAAATTTCAACTTGACCCCACAATTCCGCGTTGCGGCTAACCTTCAGGAGGTGCCGCCAGTCGTGACCGGGGTTTTTCAAGACCTGGAACGCCAGGATGGGCTCACCCCGAAGACGGCGGTACGTGACGCTGTACACACCCAGGGCTTTCAGTCGCCTATGGTACTGCAGGTGGGACAACCCTTTCACATTTTTCGTTACCCGACACTATGCGGTCTCCAGTGCAACCAGGTCGCGTTGCAACCCGGGTTGCCAAGTCTGGACAGCGTACTCTACATGGGGCATCATACACGCATTGAGCATTTGGGGGAAGGTTATCGAACTCCCCGAATGCCCTCCGTAACCGAGCAACATGTTGGTTGGCGGTTTTGAACGACTTCAAGGACTGCGCCGAACAGCTGTGGTCGTCTTGGATCACCACCCCAAGGTCTCGCTCTTGTGAGACGGTTTGCAGAGTGTCGACTCCAAGCTTATATGCATACGTGCGCTTGTGGCGGACATGCACCGTTTTGCACTTGTCCGTGTTAAATGGAAGTGGATGTAACTGACCATTCAGAAGCGGAAGATGTTTTCTCGTAGTGAATTCACAATCTGCTTGCAGGGTAGACCGTAACTACTTTTAAGTCGTACGGTTAAGTTAATAGCAAACGCATACAAGTGAATGTGAGGAGTTCCCTACTTGGGTGAAGTCGTGCTCCTGCTTAAGCTGCTTGTCCTCATGCTATCGTGATACAAATGCATATGGGAAGCATTGTTACATTCGTCCGCTCGCACATAAATGAGTTTGGGATTGCGTAAACAGTTGGGTCGTGCAAGTGAATCAAATGCAGAATTTCGAACATGTCATCCGGACCTCCGAAATATCCTATGTGACGCATTTTGAAGTCAGGCACCCGTTGTATTCGTGGGCTAGGTTATGCAATCTCAGTGACTGAAGTAAATCCAGATCAGTTTAACAAATCTTAGCGTGCGTAAAACAGATAAATGTCCAGTGGAATTCGTCCTTAGTGCCGCAATCAACTAACGGTTTCATCCTGATTTGGACTCTCCAGGTAAAAACAGACTGAGATGAGAGTGGAACCCGACTCGTAGTTGTTGACTGCTTGAATCTTGGTGATTAGGCCACTGAGCTCCATGAGCAGTGCATGGCGCAGCGATAAGTAGTTCATTGTTGAGTCTGGATTGCGACACGCAATCTCAATTGAGATCACGATTTGCTGTGAAACAAACGTTTGCCAGTTCCGTCATAGAGACCGCTGCTCACGAAGCTCCGGCCTAGTGACCAAGGTGCACGCGGTCGATAAGTGAGTCCGGTTCCACTGTGAGCTCAGGTTATTTGTACCTAGCGAGTCCAAATCCGGAGGAAACCGGTCGTGGAATGCAATGTTGAGAGAGATCAGCTGCAAAATTCTCCAATAGAAAGATCGGAGCAACACCCACCCCCGTTACTCGTGCAAGAAACACTATGGTGTAGGTAACACCAGGTAGAAGCCGTAAACCCTGTTGATATGCTTACAAAAGGGGTGTCTATGCTATCACGGCACAACACCCCAGTTTTCAGTGCTTGCGGAGTATTGGCGTTCTCATGCAGTGGTATTGGGAATGACGCCAAAGTGGACCGATTGAGTAAAATGAGTTAAGTAAACAAGATGGAGTGGACTGAAGAATCTACTATCTCCACTAATTCTTGAGACTTGATGTAGGTTAAGGAGATATAAGTTTAGAGGTCATATGAAGCCTAGAAGCCAACGTTCGACCTCAAGTAGTGGCAGTTACAAAATGGTGTGGGACAGGGGCAAACAAAAAGATTGGTCGCGACCACAGCCACAGTTGAGTGGCCAACAGTTAAGATTGCGTTACCATAGCCCACTCTTGCGCTGTCACGTTGGTCCTTTTGACCCCAAATGTGTCGAATGCTGTATTAACCCTGGAGAAAGCCCGATTATGATATGATTAAGAAAACTACCTTGTTGATGCCACCTTATCCTCGCAACACGTCATTCTGTTTGCGATTGTGTTGCTGACAGGATATAGGCGTTTTGACCATTAATGCCGGCTTATGGAGTACGGGATTCACATCAGGTCTCATTCTTTCTCCCTCTGGTAAATTCTCGATAGGATCGCTATGTTTGTATAGTAGCGAAACATCGGTACCAATTAGTGGATGTTGCGATACGTTAGCCATGTGGACAAAAGAGTAGTTTTCCACAATGACAAGTCAGTTGACTGAAAACAAATGTTCGCGATCAGGACTGACGATATAAATAAACTAACAACACGCTAATCCCTCCGCTCACTTCAGACAGCGTGCGCTCATCCAGGATAGAACAAACAGTTTATTCACCCACTCAAACTCGTGGCATAAATATTCGGCAGGAAAGGAGAAAATGTATGCTACCAGTGGGCTCCTTTTGTACAAAACACAACTCCCTGGAAGCGCAATTTCCTCATGCTTCGGAAGGCTGGAATGTTTATGGTCCTGCGGCCAATTCCAGACAAAATAGTGAACCGATTGGCCATCAGAATATATACAAATGGGGACAACCACTCTTTCACCTCCGCTGAAGGAGAATTGCCTAGAATGGCTGTGTCCTCTCATAATCTTGACCAATCAGTCGATAGTTCAAACACTATAAATGTAAGGGGTCAGTAGTTAGATTAAAAAACTATCGATCACTCGCCTGAGGAAACTTAACAATTGTGTGTGGGTGCATGTGGAGGCGCAGTACAAGATAAGGCAGGCGGGACCAAGTACGGAATGGGATTAAGTTATGAAATGCAGCGAACCATCGTCTTAACCAGACAAAGCTCAGTGCTAATAAGTTCCATCCATACAGCTGCTGATATGCAAGAGGAGCTGTGAAGTTAGTCGGCTTTAGTTCATCGATATCAACGGACACACCAAGTGCTGGAACTGAGCCATACTATGAGAGCCAGTAATGTTGTGAAGTAAGGGGTCGGCTTACGATAGCATGCAGTGAGTACGAAATGCCCAAATGAAATAACCGGCCATTTCAACCATCGTGGTATATCCGATCACTTTTGGGTGATGTCTTCTCACCGACCAATGGGGTAAATCCATCCGAGTGCATTTTGATTTCACTAACAAAGTACTCAGATAGCAAAACGCTCGGCCTAAACAGTCCATCGTGATTCTACCGTATAAACGGTGCTAATGAGGTTAATTCGATCGCGCTGCTGTGGTTGCATAAAACCTTGCACGAATCGACCACGGGATGAAATAACGGAAGCAACAATAGCCTAATGATGCATGTTCGCTTTAAAACTAGCATCAGTCACCATGTATTTGGGTTTCGTCCCCAGGCAACTCAGGTAGTCAGAGATTGTAGAAAAAACATTAGTTTAGGAAAATACCAACGTTTAAACAAGGATGAACATGCTTACCTATGGTCAGTGCATAGGTGAGTCCGGACATGGTCAAGAACTAGCGCAGTTTCGTATTCGCTGCGGGATTTATTCAATAGAATGTCAACACAGTAAACACTGTGCCACTGCCGTGCTATTACTCTCCACACTCAGACTGCCAGTATCAAATGCGATGCTGATGGTTGCACTAAGGATTTCTTTCAAAGTTGGTGCGTGTGCTTACGATCGACACGTGGCGAATGGCACCTCACGAGAATCACAGTCCTACTACCGCCAACGCAAACCAGAGAGCCAAACTGCACAGTGAATACACACACACCCTAAGCCTTTACCGGCAGTTTCATGGTGTTCAATAGATACTGATCGACAAGTGATGTTTATCAATCCACGTTGGAAATCAAATGTGATGAAATGAATTTTTCAACAATTCACTAAGCTAGATTACCACTAAACAAACGCGTAATAGTAGAGCGCCACTAGGAGTCTTTCAGTCGCGTCAAGCAGCTTGCATTACCGTAACGTTATTCATCCTCGATTAAGCGTCAAATCGCTGACTCAGAACTAGAAGCAGCCTGGAAGACACTGCTGAATGGGATTAGCCATGCAATGTAGTGACCGCGTCTACCACCGTCCATCAAATGCCAAGGGCAGTAGCCACTGTACAGCAGCCGCAATCCGTACGTGGTGCATAAGTGCTGTGAACTGCGGCTGAGAACGGAGAAAGGTGAGGACCGAGTATTATCATTTCAAATAGCTGGTGCTTGCTCACCTAGAGCAAAAGCAGATCATGATGGCTAGGGTTGATGTCGCAAAAATCATGCTTCTTCACCGCAGTTTGGCTGCAGCGACATACGTATACAAGATCCTTTCAATGTGCATAAAAAGTACTCTACGTTATCTGATTTGCCCAGTTCTGTTATTCTGCTATATATTCCGTGTAAATTTCGCGTGCTTATTTCACTACAAATTACGTGTTGGTTGTTTGTTATCCCCGGCGTGTCTGAGCTTGATGTGAATGGAACAACGGAACAATGGTGTATTACGAGGGAAAACCGATGCTTAATAAGTCCCGTGGGATGGAAATTATTGCAAATTAAAATTTAATTATAAAGTGAAAAGCGTTTCGGTGAACTCACCATAGACTTATGTAGAATAGCTGGGATATTCGCGTATTAAAAGTATAAATCCACAAATCCATTGGTTAGGATTTTGGTAAGACACCGTTTGATTGCGTTTTTTATCCCCCCTGGCGAACAAGTTATAAAATCCAAATGCAAATGAGACAACACATCGTCAACCCGTATTTAAATATCACCAGATTGGGGACAGAGACGACATAATTAGAGAGAGCGTTCAAAGGCCGGTACACGCGCAGGGAAAAAATTGCTACGGCATTCAAGCCGGTTATACTGTATTGTTAGTTTCAGAGGATGACATCTTAGGTTAGTGTTGTGGTTCAACTCCAGCAGCGGGCGGCAATAGTGGGTTGGGTTCTGCAGAATCTGGCAAACCATTATAAGATCCCCCAGCAAACGTCGATATGGACTGCTGTACAGAGAGATTTCAGTCTAAACTGATAGGGCAGATGAAAGAGACCCCTGACGTTCTTGGTTGCATCTCGTTGAGGAGTCTCGAGAGAAAGGAGATCCTGTTTCTGCCACGGCTGCATAGTATATTCCACGTACGGTCGCACGTGGGCGTTAAGCATTTGGGGGAAAATTGACACTTCAAACCGACTGAACGCTCTGCGAAGGTCAGTGTTGGTTGTCGGTTCTCGACGCCCTCTCAGTTCGTTTTCAGAATCCGAGATCTTTCTGTACCATTACACCCAGGTCACGCTCCTGAGAAGCCTTCTGCAAGCTGTGGTCTCCAAGAAACGCTCACCGGCTGGTGACGTAGATGGATCACCTTGTACTTAGCTATGTTCAACGGAAGCAGATTCCTCGTTTACCATTCATATATGAAATCTAGGCAATGTTGGATTAGCTAGTGAACCTCATTGTTACTAATCGCCCATCGTATCTTAACATCCTCGGATAAAAGCAGGAAATTTGAGGAGACAACTCTTGCCAGGTCGCTGATAAACACCAGGAATAAGCGCGGTCCAAGCACCGAGCCCTGTGGGGCACCACATTCCACCTCAATCAAGATAGAGAGTGATCCCCTAACACGCACTTGAGGCTTCCGTTGGTGAAGAAAGTTGTCAGTCCAACCAAGAACAGGATCTCCGATTCCGTAGCTCTGTAGCCTGTGAAGTAGGATGCGGTGATCCAGGTGGTCGAAATCTTTGGATAAGTTCAGATAGATAAAGTCAACTCGGATCCCATCATCAGCCACTTCCGTCCAACTACCTCGTGCAATCAGCAAGTTAGTGGTGCACGACCGGTGTTGACGGAAGGCATGCTGCTCCGGTGACAAGACATTGCATTTTTTCAGGTAGTCCATTAAAGCCTCAGCGACGACCGCTTCCATCAGCTTCGAGAGCAAAGAGAGGAGAGTCACTGGGCGATAGTTTGCAGGATCTGAACGGCTACCGTCTTTAAAAATAGGGGTGATAATGCCACACTTCCACATAGTGGGGACTTATTGTTCATCAAAGCACCTTTGGAAGAACTGTGACAGTGGTTCAGCTAGCTTGGTGGCCGCATCTTTTAGTGCTTTCGAGCGGATGTTGTCTGCTCCCGGAGAATTATGTTCACGCAGTGAGAGTAACTTCCTTAGCACAATTGATGGGTTAAAAATAACATTTGTAAACAGAGGGGTCGGTAATGTGCATGACATTATGGGACAGATAGAGACTGCGAGTACGAAAATTGAGACGTATTGTAGTCGCAGGGCATTAGCTGCTTCTTCGGCACTTTGTACTCTATCGCCTGTTGTGAAAAGTGGAGGTATGCCTTACTTCACGTCACGAAGATTGTTGACATGCCTATACAGCAGTTTGCCAGGAATATTTTGGCTAGGCACCGTTGTTATTTTGTCCTCACGAACAAGTGCAGTGCAATAGTTGCAGTGGGTCAGGAAATTGCTGCAAGTCTCTGAGTCGGCGTTGATCTTGTAGGCACGCCATGTTGCATCCCTTATCGCCATGCGTTTTCTAGTCCTGCTCCTTAGAATTGAAGGCATTTTTGTGGGACAATGTCGCGGTGTCTACTCACGAACTGTCCAAATGTTGTCAAAGGGACTGTTGTTTATGAATTCCCAAGCAGATGCGTTGACGACTTCTTTCAAGACGTGGTAGCGTGTGATTGTATGAGTTAGTTCCGAGTGTTCAGATCGATATTCTGCATAACACACAGTTGAACGTTATCACCTAATGGATTGACCATCTGTTGTAAAGCTACCTTCGTACTGCTGCACTGCTGCTATTCTGCGCCTGCGAGACTACGACCGCCAGATTGCTCAGTTACTCGCCCAACCAACCGACCGGATACAGAAAGCCAAGGCTCGGTAAACAGGGAGTCTACTCTACACGATAGGTCAGTTCTGTTTATTGGTGAACAAAACATACTAACTTTGGAAGCGTTTGGCTCCCAGCCAATGTGAGTTAATTCCATCCCACGGATTTTCCATATTTGGCAGAATGAATCGCCTCCGTTGACTCGGGCTTGTATTTGCTGGCCAATCAGTCTGCACCCGATTCCCAAATTTGGCAAAACAGTCGAAGGTCGCTCCACGCTCGTGCTGGTGACCTTCGCATGTAGCAGACAGCTCACGTGCTCCTCGGTAAGCCTGTGAGCGACCTCGTATCTGGAGATTGGCTCCGCTTGCCTCTCTATTAGCATCAATAACTTGTCAACCATGAGCTCTTCATTCGTGAGCTCAAGGTCCAATGAGGACGGTTTGTTTGCTGTCTTGAATCTAATGGACGTGGTGACATGGTTGTGCAAGGGAATATTAGTGATCAGTTCATGCAAGTCTGCTTAGAACTGTTCACTGGGTGATGCCGATACCTCCAGATCGAATAGACTGAAGTCCCGGAGATGATAATGTGGCTGTACAGAGCGCATGTTACTCTGTTCAGGACACGTATCAAGCGGGAATCCATTTCGGGAGTGAACGTTGGGGGGCGGTAAACGACAGCTACGAGAGGTGCGTCGTTAAGTCAGTCGGAGACGGCAACAGAGTGAATCGGTAACGCGAGGTTCCAGATCCTCAACTATTGCACATTGTAGGTCACTGCGGTAGCAGAGGACCCCTCCTCCTCTGTTGGGGCAGTCGTTGCGGATAAGTGACATTCCTGCTACCGTAACCTCAGTATCAACCACTTCTTGGTGCAACCAAGTTTCGATAATGGAAATTAGGTCCTAAGCATTCGGAACCTGACGTAGCCGAATTTCGGTAAGTTTACTGAGAAGCACTTGAGCGTTAGTGAATATACATGAAAGTTTCTCAGATTTAAGCAATGTTTCGGAGGTTGTACAACTCATACGTAAAGTTTCGCCAACCAGTGAGTGGCCGGCGACTAATCTTTTTTCGGTGTGTACTTGGCGAAGGGTTCGACGTCTTGTTCATTCTCTGCGTAGTTAGTCTCGTGTCTAATCTTCTACGTACAGCAATAGGTGTCTGGTCAAGCTCATCTTCAACAGGTTGAATGGGCTCATTCGACACACTACTGGTGTATTGTTCTTTTGTAGATCCCATCGCGTTTGGTTCGTTGAATGACAAATCATCTCTAAGGGGCATATCGCTGACTGTCTTCAACCGAAGCTCAGATGGTAGCCTGTAAGAAAACACGTACCAAATTTTTAGCACCCGTGCCAGCATATGTTTTGACTGCAGGACCACTTTCAACACTCGCGGGCCACTTCCTTTGTGGTTCGGTGAAGTACGCAGCCATGACACCGATTTCGCTAGCACATCATCCAACACCATTGTTCGTTATCATGGGTTATTCTTTCATGTTCATCACATGCTTCAGTTTCAGGAACCCTGTGAAAAAGAATGGTGCTGGTTCAAGTTTCCTTCCGGTAGTCCTCTAAGATGCGGGTAACTCGATAACGCTCCCCCCATGGGATGTCTGGAAAGATACGGATGAAGCAGTGTTCACTTCCGAGTCTACCTGTCGACAGCAGAACTGATTCTACTTCAGTGATGGAGTTCAGCACAACGCGCAGAAGGCTTGGCTTTCCGTAATGCTTAGAGTTGTGGCGCAGCGTAATACGCACTACGTGTACACGTTTCAGTACAACTCCGATTATGTTACTAATAATATCCCACCGGTTGAGGTCATCCAACTGCCTGCCTCTTTGAATCTGGGATATTGGAGTACAGTACGCTCAGCACAGGTAGTTGCTCCTTTACACCTTTCAAAATGACGAGGTGCCTACCTGTAAAACACATGCCACGAGGATTAGTGATTGCAAGAAACAGTGAATCGTTGCTTGGGGGGGGGGGAGCGTGGTTCACAGTCCTCGTGGAGGTGCTAGGATCGGAGGGTGTTTCCATCCAGTGCGGAGCAGACTACGGCCCAGCTACCGTTTTGTGTGCATCTGATACGCACACTACCCAAATCAGATAAACAGTAATGCTGTTACCGTGCATGTTGAAGGAGTGTGGGCCGACACGGATGATGTAAAGTGGCTCCCATCCACATACCTCCCGGTCTTATTCCTTCAGGTTTACACTGAATATGGGACGTGTGGATGGAACTGTGGGTGGTGCAGCGTAAGCCATCTATGGTCTCTCTGTAGACGCAGGCGTCCTTTAGCTATTCTATGGAAGCCGCAGTGACGGACAAATCCGGAACCGGCTATATATATATATATATATATATATATATATATATATATATATATATATATATATATATATATACAGTTGACTACTTAGTGTTTGGTGTAACATTTTAGATGAAAACCCGAGCGTTCCAACAATGTAAGCTGTCCACCCCTTAAATGTAGTATAAACAAATGGAATCTGGATACCGTCAAGTTGGCAAAGGTGGCTCAGAGGTGGATTCTCTGTTCATGGTTGGGACTTTGATACAGTGCGTATGTCATGATTGGAATGTACCTAGATAGAAACCGCTGTGTTAAACATTCCCAGTTAATAATCGTCATGAACAGTAGCTGTCATCAAACATGGAAACCTAGGTTAGAGGCAATGGAACATAGTGAAAAACCCAAGTGTGCTGAGCAAAAATCCAGGGTTAAGAAGCCTACACCTTGTCAACAACATATCATCACAAACAACTGGCTATCGTGCAAAGATAAGGCGGCATCAGTGAAGGAGATTGCTTGCGTTTTTCACTGTCTCGCGTCATAATCAGCCATTACCCCGCAGAAAACTCAGCAGTAGACACAATTTAAACAGGCAATCCGATTTGGAGACCGCAGTAAGTCCGCCATTAGTGCCGGCTGTGAGCCAATCACGAAGTGGATAGCGTGGACTCTAATTCACAAATGCTAGACAGGACAGCAACATGAAGTACAGACTGAAGAAATTTCATTTCATACTGACAAATAAACATTTGATTGATCAGGCCACTCAGTTAGATTGTACCACGCATCGTCGAGAAATAAACGGTTTATTTATTCGCTCATCTCAGGCATTGCGCCAGCCTGCATGCGGCAAGCAAAATATAGCCCCTCGACATACGTAGCACGTGCCCAAACTAACCTAGGTCACTATTATTTGTTACTCTAAAGAACTAACCTGCTTGTCAGTACCCAGCACACACTATGGCTGCAAATACGCTGAAGCAACGCAAAACCAGAGATGATTCGAGTCAACGATGATCAGATATGACGTCACTTCAGACCGAAGTGACCCTCAGTTGACAAGAGTCAATCATCGAGGCCTCTATTTCGCACGCATCGCCATTAATGTTGAGCTACCCGTATCGTTTTATTACGAAGCGAGGTCTGAAATATGGGCACCTTACAATGTGCTCAACCTGAGCGTATAAGAGGGATCAAGCGGTCCAACGGAGTTGTATATATTTTTCGACGAAAATAGCGCGTTACTACTTGTGGTGCATAAAAGCAAGTCTAGTTGGCCCTCACAAAAACGCATTGCTCAAGTAGCATGTAAGAATTTGAAGTATCCACGGGCAGTGCTTCTAAAACTTACTGAGTTGCCCAGCAATATTAGACGGCCACTTGGTAAGTTGGATTATCTACATACTTAAGATTCGATGGAGATGAGCTCAGTTCCAGGTATCCACTTCCGATTTGGTACATAGGTCTGCTTTCATGTCACGGTCTGCCGGGCGCGCAGAACTCATATATGCCGTCTAAAATGAGGTACCTTGCAAATATTAGCAGCGAGTTTACCGACATAAACATCTTTTGTTATAGGAAGTGGCAGCGAGGCTGGGATACGCTTGTACGTTGGTCAATGTCCGCAAATGGCTAATCAGAGCGGTGATGAGCGCATTCCACTGGTTCGGACAGTATTTGGAAGAGGGTGAACGTGTGACGTTCTACTATTTGCTTAATCGGAGTAAAGCAGAAGGCAAAAAGGCAGCAGCCGATGTTCCCAGTGAGAACAACCAAGTGATTGCTAACCATGGCGAGGTTCTATTGCGGCTGGTAACAAAAACATCCAATGAAACAGTGGTGTTTCATTCAAACCCCGAGCTGATGACTAGGACTGGAGACTACATCAGGTGAGTTGGTCAACGAAACCGTGAGACAAACAATAGAACAACTCATCGTATCATTCTAACCTTATACGCAAAAGGCACTAGGGTTCTGATGAAAATGTGATGTGAAACATAAAGGTTAGATGTAGATGTTGACACGCAGCTAAAGTAAGTTGCGACCCGTCGGATAATTTAGCTTGTGACAACTGATCTTGGGATGACAGTGATTCGACGTGGCGGGAGTAACTAAAAAAGCCGAGTACTGGGGGTAATTTAGGCATCCAGTTTGTATTCCAGGGGTCGCCGGTTTGAGCCTGCGAGGGTAAGGGTGATCTCACAGTATCCCTAACCTACATGCGACCGTTGGTTGTCGCGTGGTAGTAGAGCACTGGTGCGGCCAGTAGCCGATAGCATTTTATATGACGGTGCAATCTAAACATGAGCCAAATGTACGCAAGTCATGGCGCTCGGATAGCAAGTTTATCAGCTCCAAATACCAAATTTCTGATAAAAGTGCCACCAGTGATTACGATGAGGCGAGTTTCAAATTCTCAAAGCCGCAAGATGAGCTCAACAATTTGAATTCAGCTGCAAAATCTGTTCAGTAACTGTTAGGCAAAACCATCTTGAAGCAGCGCTGATCACCTAGGGATATGGGGCCACCGGATAGCTAATGGTGGGCTCAGTATACACGACGGTGACGGAACACGCTGAGTGCTCGGTAGAAGATAAAGAAGCATAACGAGCTCTCCAAACAGCGTTCAAAAGGGTAACTTAAGTAAAAACGGACTTGGATCGAACTATTTCTCGCTGAAATTGTTTATACTAAGAAAAATATCTACCGATCCGTCAAGAACTCGCATACACAGCTGAAATGAAAAGCATGTCAGGGGAAACAAAAATGTTAAAAGAGTGTGATTACCAACAAGAAGGTTGTGATAAAGGAAATGGAGCCCAGGAGAAAGCTTGCGAGATATTTTAAGAGGAAAAAGGCCGCAGGAATGGAGACCGCCTACCATTTGTCGGAACATACGCAAGTTTATTTATATGTTTATGATAAAAGATGCCAAGCGGGTTGGGGAGTAGAGCTAGACTCAACCAAACAAAAAGTAGGAAGCTGATAGGAACGAGGCCGATGTGGTATGCTGATCTGCCCACTGTGAGAAGGAAATAGGCATCGCATTGCCCCAGCGTGTCAAATTTTGGGACATCCAAATGTATACCGGCAAAATGTACTCCCGGTAAATATGAGAATATTTTACCACTTTTGTGAAAAACCCAACGACCCAATGGGTCGTTAAAGTCAGTATCTGTTAGAGATACACTTCTTTGTGACTGTTAATGTCTACACGTGCAGAACTAACGCAAGCCTGCGAACGCAGTAATGGCTCTTAGCTGACTGACGCAAGGACAACAGAACACACCGAGTTGGCAGCAAGCAACATGTAATCCGGCAAGGACGTATACAGTGCATCGATCAAGTAACCAAGGAATACATGCGCACAGTCATTGCTGGGTGTGAACGCCGACTGATGGTGACTCATACGCCGCAGTGATCCTCGGTGATAGACAGTGCAACGAAAAAGTGTGATCAATTAATTTCGTTCCGATTTCCCCATAGCTGATTTTCTTGAGCTAGTGAGTCACCGAATCACCTTGCCTGTTGGTAATTTGGCAGAAAGGAAAATAGGGTAAATTCCTCCATACCCGGTGAAAGGCTCAGTGTTTTCTTTGGGACGCGAACGGTAGGTAACAATCACCGCTGCAAACGTAAATATCTTGGATGTACGATATGACACTATAGGAAATGGAAACTGGGCACCGTTTACACAACTGGACCATAAGACCAATTGCATACCGCAGCAATAGGACTGCGACGTAAGGGGAAATATCGAGATGCGAACATCAATTGGGTATGGGCTACTGCTGACAACAATAGCATGTCGAAATCAAAGAGAGAACCAGTAAGTCGTGTATCGTTGCACAAAATATAAACTAGACATGGAGGGCAGAAACAGGAATTCAGAGTCCCACAGGTACGTAGCTGGAGTAAGGCAAAAGAAGTCGTAGACCTGCATACTTTCCGGTATTTCGATAACAATTCATTTTATAGTTGGACGGTCCAAACTTGACCGTCCAATTAGTCATTTACCGTTGTGCCAAAAGCGTTGCCCACCGTGACCCGGTAGCCAAAGGGGTAGAGGTTTCGGCTACTATTCCAATGGCCGCGGGATCGAGGCCTGCTGTCTCCACCTGATGAGATGAAATTACATCGAAACGCGTCGTGGTTGTGCAGTGTTTTCGGGTGGGCAACACCCAATTTCCCCCTAATTCATTATATAGTTATTGTTCGCGTGTGCGACCCAAGTGACCAGTGGATACCAGACTGAGAAAAAATCGCCACACTAGAAGAAACATGTGGAATGTAAGGCCATCTACTTCGACAGGGAACATGGCAGCCCGACGGAGGGTGGCGCATCTTGTGTGAAGACGCTGTAAAAGTTCACGATTAAATAAGAGGATGAGATTATGATTCCATCACTAACGCATCTTCAGTGGAGTTGCGTTCAATACGCAAATTCACTATTGATGGAACGTTACCATTTTCATACATTAGCACTGAACACCTTGATCGCAGAACTTCAGCCAGACACACAGTGGCGCCGAAGGAGCTTCCAATGAGGGATAGTGTTTTGTGTTTACCACAAAAGAATAAAAAACGCAATAAGAAACGGCAGCCAAAGCTGAATCGGCTATCGTTTCAACTGATGACTCATGAGAACCGGATCCCATGCCAACAAGCGCCAGCCCGCGTCCCCTGTCTACGTTCGGACAACGCGGGAGTGGCTGTCATGCACAGCAGATAGCGGCGACGAATTTCACACGCTATGCTCACAAACACTTTGAGGCGTATAGTGCGCGGGGGTAAAATAAAGTATACCTCGAGAACCCATGGAACATCTCGGGTTGCGTAACGCGACCTCATCTAGGCGACTTAACAAAGAAGCAAAGTGGGAAACAAGGAAATTACCGGTGTTATCAGACCACAAAAATGCAATCTGTTATGATCTAGAAATTGTTGGAGTGCTTCAGGTAGGGACACCGAATCGAAACGATGACACTGTGATTACAGACCGACGGCTTTTCACCACGAAGCTCTTCGGTCAAAAGTTGTCACAACGGCAAAGATTTCACGTTTAGATTTAATTTACATGCTGTGCGTTTGAATTGAAGCACAGAGACTAAGTGTAGACTTCGAGTTGCTTTGAGATAAGCATCAGTCTTTATAATAACAGGAGTTGAATATGAGTCTGGAAAATGTTCTCCTCCCTGTACAATGAAATAAGGCGAAAATCTGTTGGACACCTCTAGAGGTGAGCGAAAATTATGTTTTCCTCCCATTTACATGTGCCCCTGTAGTTATTTGTCTGTTCAAATGCCTAAGTAAGGTTATTTTTGGAATGAGTAGACAGCTTCACAGTTGATTTAATATTGTGATAGGTTTCCAGTAAACACGAGCTATGGTTTTGCCGCATTAGGTCTCACCTCTTTGAAGCAGTGGAGTACGCTGGACCAGTGGAAAGAAAAGTTTTAGGTGAACATCACTTAACTCTTCCCCTGATGAACATCGGACAAGTCTTGGGAGTTGTTGATGTACAAACGCTAAACCGGAAAGAAGGACGCGCCAAAAATCAAACACAAGTTTTGACGATGATGAACATTCTGACCATGCTGTACAACAAGACTGCCAGGGATGCAGGCTTGGTTCCAACGATCCCCTGTGTTCATGGAACGGAGTATAACGAACGAAACCGGCTGACTGTAATTAAACCGGAGAGTGTCTTTGAAAACATGCTGAAATCAGAAATGAAGTATCTTGCGAATGAACTGGACTCCAAGGTAAGCAACTAAGTACTTTTTGGATTATCATTGAAACTGTCACACGCTCCTATGCCCCCGTTTGTCACTAAGGGAAAGAAGCAGTAGGGACTGCCCTATCAGGAAACGGGGTGTCGGTGAATCACGCTAGACGTAAGTGACAACCAGCCGGATCACCGAACGCAACATACTGAACAGGGACCGAAGCAGCACTGATAAAAGGGACTTTGTCTCCCAAATTGAAATTGGTAAGAAAACCGTAAACCTAGAATTGTTCTAGTCATAGCAGCCAAACGGACTGTGATGAAGTTGGCATATGCACGGAACGACTCCCTGCAGGCGGTGGCAAGTGATAGTACTACTTCATGAGTAAAGAACTGATTAATGCTTCGTTGCGACTGCCTAACAAGTGTGCGGGTAGTGCTATGGTACTGAGAGATACCCGATTTCGTCCGACTAGTTAGCGTCTGCGAGTGTGAATGGCAACGGAACACTTGCGTGCGCAGAGAGACTATGCGTGATGGCTTATGTGGCACCGCGCATGTACTCGTACCACATAGTCTTAAGACCAGAAAGTAGGGAACGAGAGCCGCGAACGCTACGGAGCAAGTTCGTTCGACATTAGTACACCCATGAGTAGGTGGCGTAACGGGTTGTGACAACACGGTGATTGTGAGGGATTCATAGACGTTTCTGAGTGACTGGTAGATCGCAAACACATAGAGAGACACTGCAATGTATTATTAAGCGAATTTAGAGGGGTAGCCGCGTACATTGCGGTCTCAAAAACCAGAATGCATATATTAATTCTACAGTGATTTTTCCCAAGTACCGCTTGTGTCACACTCCGGAGTAGGATTGGAAGTGTGTTAGTGGTTGCCATCACTCGGCCCTATGATTCATCTCAAGCAATGAAGTGCTCAGATAAAACAGCAAGTGTATTCGGTGGGGGGTTACGGACGTAGCTAGTTGCTAGGGTTGCGGATTATCTATTGACGGGAAACAATTTGCAGTGAACACAAAAAGAGTTGGCAAACTAAACTCAGCCATCTGAGTGCAATGGGATCTTAAGCAAAGATAACGTGGAGCAGATAGGCAGTAGAGGAAACGAAAAACTCCAGTTCTACGTTGTAATTCAGTTACTTAGTCAATGTAAACGTAACCACTTCAGAAGCCCTGTCAAGGAAATGGTGATAAATGCTGTGTGAAGATCGATCAGCAGACAACAACTGAAGTGAATCGTGGTAAACGGAAAATCCGAGTGGGACCATGACCACAGGAAGGGGTCTATACGAGTAACGTGACAACTTACCATTGTACAGTACACTCTGCGTCGATGAATGTATCTACTTAACAGAATTGGAGAAAGGTGGAGTCCTCGAGTGCCACAACGCAAACATATTACACACTGTGGATCTGAACACCGAATCAGAAGTGAAATGGGGAGGTCGCAAAGTATCGAGTGGTATGATCATTGAAAAGAAATTGGGAGATTTTGAGCCACTCACTGTTCTCAGCAACGTAAATGTTCCCCAATTGCACCAGCTCGCGTCAGGTAAGATAAATTCAGATAGCACCAACCATCTCACATACACTAACATCTTAAAACGTGGGGCAGGCTGTGTGGTAAATTTTCGGGTTGTGCAACTGATAACTCGAAGTGAAGTACATAATGTATTTCCCATCAAAATCGGAAAAATTAGGAGGTAACACATATCCGACTAGCATTTCGGAGCAAAAGAAAATGCATGTTTGCTCCTGACTCAACGACAACATTGGGTGAAATGATGCTTAAAAGGTTCAAAATCTTCCGGCTGAAATAGTAATGAAGACGCATCCCACACGAACACGGAATTGATAGGCAATTGAGGCGAGAAACCAACGGCAACCAGTTGATACAAAAAGTGGCTACAGTACGTACGTGTATGGAGCCACAGTGAGATAACACATTAAACGGCAGGCATCAACAGCTGAGTAGTCAACCATGACGAAGGTATACGGTAGACCCAAGGTTGATTCCGATTTGATTCAGGGACACACGAGTAAGGTAGCCATAGACAAGAAAACGACAGGTATCAAGCTGCATTTACCCGGGATAAAATTGCAGCAAGCTGTCTGCTCGGCTCATATCCTGAACGATAGAATCATACTTATAACATGTTAGAAATCCACCAATCATTAGCGACGACCGTAGTCATGCTTTACATTGGGCTCTTTATTGGTAGTCAGTGGAGTATATAGAATCCTACATTTAGAAAGAAAACTTTGGCGAGACACATTCAAATTTCTGCAATGAAAAAGTGCCAAATTTACTGTGTAACGAGCCTATCAGCAGATCACAATAAAATAAGCTTCTCGGCGCCAGCTTACAAAAACTATCGTTCTAAACAAGTGTTATGAAAAGGGAATGGGATGTACATAACCCGTTTCCTCAATGTATGCACTAAACGCGTGAGTAAATTCAGGGAAACTGGCTAACGGATGCATGAGCAGCGGGGACAACATACGAACTGTGGTGCATGTAGTATACTCCATTTTATTTTTCAGTTTGTTCAAAGAAGGAAGCGGAACTGCCTGGCCATCCCCAAGTAACGTTGTTGTACAGGTGGCTAAAGTGCTGTCTATCTGCGATGGAACTGAAGTAAACAGAAAATACGTTTCTGCTCACCCCTTGACTCACCATCCCATGTCAAACCCATGCTCATTACAAAAAGACAATAATATCCAAATGAGTATTATTTATGCAAGATGAGAAATGGTCATGGACAATGAATATAGGTAAAAAGAAATCGATGGGTTGCAGGATATAAAACGTTCAAAGGCACATTTCCGATTGGCGTAGGTTGGCTCTCGCAGTTGCGGAGGGCTAACAAGTGGTAAGCCAGAGTGAGACAGAAGCCAATCGTATGAATAGACGTAGCCGAGCGCCAGTATATTGTCAAAATTGTCGGTCGGTAGTTCGTGGAAGGAAAACTTGTCCGCATCACGTCAGCCCGATAGCAGAAGCGATGGCTATGATCGTCAAAACGACCAAAACAGTGAGAATGATGGCACAAATAAGCCTGCACTGTAAAAATAAAAAGCATTTGAAGGTGATATATGATGAGTTAATACGAGTTCTCCTTAATAGCGACTACATGAGTTTCATGCGAGATGAAATGAGAGTGATGCATATAAAACGGAAAACAGATACGCGCTTCATATGGTGAAATAAGAAATGAAAATGAATCGCACAGAAGAAACGAGGATTGACTACTGCTCAAATTCACTGACTCGATGTGGAAAGCCCCTGGTCATTGTGCCGTAATGCGAGAGAGACCACAGGGCAGACGCAAACACATACAAGCAAATGGGTATCAGCATGTGGAAAGACCACGGATGGTCGTTTCGGTCTTTCCTAGAGTTACTCGCAGTGCAAGTTACGTCGTTATAAGTTAATTGGCGTTTTAAGTATAAAAACGTCGTTGTTTGGAGAGAGAGAGAGAGGGGGGAAGAGAGAGAGATAAGGAGGTGGGGCACTGTCCACCACGCAAGTCGGTGGAGAAGGAGTCGCACTATAGAACAAGTATTTACTTGATCATGACGCCTGCCGGTATACGCCGTTAACCAGAATCAATACACTGAAGCACCGTTTTGAGCAACTTAGCGGGGTGAGGAAGCGTGAAAAGTTGATGGATCCCAGGTGAACCGAACAATGAGCTACCGCTTTTTCTGACATCAATTACTATCAGACTGGCGGAGCTGTAGGCCATCGGGCGCGTCCTCATGTAGCGGATTGAGGAATGTCTTCTTTGTGGAGGTAACTACGAATAAGCCTCGTTTGCTTTGCAGACGAGATGAATAAGCAGTCGCGGACAATCAGCAGCAGCGTCTCAGAGCGTGGGGAGTTCTGGGCTGGTCACCTGGTTCTCCATCAAATACCACAAGAGCTTGTACGGCGCTATGTTAAAGCTAATGTGACCGACTATATGGTCACTGACCACTCACTACTGTAACCAGAAGTGAGTATATAACGGAGAGCGGATGAACAACCTTGCGGGTCACCGGCTTCTCTGTGGACTGCTACCAAACACAAAGAAGGCGGATGAGCCATCCGGATGTCAACGGTCTTCGTTAATCGCCCTGCTACCTTGTGGGTTAGGTCTTAAGATCAAAGGCTCGGGGTGGGATCCCTTAAGTCAACTCTCTTCCTCGGCCTGGGAAAGTGGGAAGACCTCTACGCATAGAACACAGCCTTCTAAACTCCCAAGTCTTTTCACTAATGAACCATTTTCCCTCTTTTTGGTTGTTGTTAACTATGTGTTGTGGCATCACCAATTGTACATTGGTCAAGCGTTGATTAATAATAATATATACTATGACTTGTCGCACCTAATACGAGCTACAAGAGATGCCTGAAGTAGGCTGAAACATCAGCGAAGCACATCTGATTAGATACAGGTTACAACATGATAGTACACCTGTGCTGAGTAACAAGAAAGCTCAGCGAAAAGAACAACTATTCTCAGTGACTCTCATAAGATGGGGAGATTTTGGTAAACTTCAAACGAAGACTACTTTGCTGACAAGTGGGCAGCATCGAATGACTCACAGTTAGATGTAAGTAGACAAGTATAGGAGCCCTAAGGCTAGTCGCAGTTTCAAGCGATATAGTTAGTATTGAGAAACCAAACAGAAAAGGGAGACACTCGATATCCAGGTTAACAAGCAAGGCAGACACTGACAGGTAAGCAGTGACACTTTCGCTCTGTACTGCTGGAAGCGCCGTGGGGTCAAGACAATGCGCCACGCCTCCGTATTCCAATAAAAGCATGCGAACCAATGTTATCCGATGCTTCCCAAACAATCCCTTCATATTCAGACGATCGCAAATAGCAATGAGATTCAAGAAGGAAAAGTTGATCTCTTGTTAAAGAAATGCTGGCAAGCGTCATGCAAATGTGTGCCGTCGCCATGGCAGCTGAGGTAAAGTAAAATAGCCCAAACAGTGTGTTTTAATTTATCCTCCGTAAGCTTGGTACTTTCGAGTAGTTAAGTTGTGAGGAGTTTAATAAACCAAAAAGATAGCCGTGCCGTATAGCAGAGTGCCGGTGGGTGCTCACGACTTAGATATGCAAGTTATGCCTGGGCTACCCAAAAATGTAGTAATCAGCTGGGGGTGAACGAAGCTCGCGATAAAATCGAAGGAAGAATCCAGTTCGGGAGAAATTAGAAATCGAACCGACAGAGTAGAGGATAAACAACACTAACAGGCTGCGAAAGATTGCGGAGTTGTAATTGGCCAGTATAGGCGGTTGCAGACAATGATTATCGCACGCAAGAAAGCTGTGTAGATTATAAGGAAGGATACTGATTCCCGTCAAAAGCGTGGTGGTGTTTGGGGTTGGAGATGCTCTCTCACGGCTCAGCGTCCGTCCCAGTGTTTTGCTTCCTCTTCCGCTCATCTCACCATCGTCTACAAGAGAACAGTGCGTAGCCCGCATTAAATACACTGCATTACCTGCACCTTGTTTTCCGTTCTCATCCAATTCTGTTTCTTGTTATAGTTACCAGGTGAATTGAACTAAACTTCCTTAAAAATCATCATCATTTGGCCCAGTCAGATAGTAATCGATATCAGAGAAAGCGGTAGCTGATTGTTCGATTCACTCGGAACTCGACAAGCTTCAACTCTATCCTGTGTTGGCCAATGGCAAAGGGATTAGGCGTCTCACACGTAATCCGAAAGTCGCCAGTTCGAATCTGCGTATGCGCGCGCGACCCCGTAGTATTCCCAAACCACGCGCCACCAGTGGTGGTCACGTGGCGGCGAAGCGTCAGTACGATGAACCAGCGTAGTATTAAGTATTCCGTATAGAGGGTAATTTCAGTTAGCGGAGCTAGACTGGCTGATAAATTTGGTATGCGAACAGCTACGCTATATGTTTACGCGTAGAACAGCAGCGGTGGAGGTGAGCGTGAGGAAAGTGAGGTAGCGTAGAATCCAAGGTCCACAAAAAGTAATCGTTGTAATTTGTAAATTGCGGATTAGGACGAATACAAATTCCAGACACATCCTGCATTTACCATCGCACACTTGCAAAAGGGTAGCCTTATCTGCTACATATAGCAGGGTGGATAAGCGAAAATATGCCACTACTGAAGCATTAATTCTTTCTTTCTACCTAACTCTCCTACTCCCATGCCGACTACTATTATTAACCCAGCTTCTATAAATCCCACTGCAGTTCTACCATCTGCAGCTATCTCTCTGCACAACCCATGGCACGCCTATTCGCAACAGCCAGTAATAAGGTCATACTGTCCCGTTTTCCCTGGCACTCTACGTCAACAGGATGCATTCGCATGCACCTTGGACACTTTGTGGATGGACATCTGTTGCATGTCCGATAGTTGAACCAATAACCATGAAATAGTTGTTGGAATCACTGCACCCGGTTTTCAATCTCGCTACTGGTTATACGCATCCGGAGACGGTGATGCGGTAATCACTGGTCAAGCTGAGGTGGAGATTGTTCGCCGCTATAAGGCTGAGTCATCATTAGTTGATTGGATTCCGTGAACAGCCGTTTGTGTGCAACCCGTTTGAGATATTAACCAAAGTGGACTCCTGAAGCAACATTACACGCTGTTTGTTTTTGGTTGCCGACTGTAGTTCTGATGATTCCAAGCACACCATCTACCACGGAGGTTAGAACGCTGCTCTTCAGCGTTTCCAGTTCGTGCGGAAAATACGAATGCGCTAGTAAGTGGTCTGAGATTCACAGTAACTCAACTGGGGGGGGGGTTAGTATGTGCGCAGTGCCGAATGCCTGTTGCAACTGTGCGCGGAGTACTGGCTGTATTTTAGTAGCATCAATTTCTGGCACGGTTGGCACAGACGTGCCCGACGACGGAACCAAGTAGATCATATTAGCATATGCTTCAGGTGATGTGGTCGCATCATGGATCGTCACTCGTTCAGTAATAAGTGCGTCGACTCTGATCACGCTTTGGTACGTTGTCGTTTTCCGATGGTTTTCACCGGAAGGTGTACAAAGAGCCTCACACGATGAAGCTATCCCATCTCCTGGTCAGGCAAGTCTACCAATATGCACTATGTACAAAAGTTCCAACTTCTCACACTAAGGACACCAAGTATTAGAGGAATAGGGTCTAGGCCAGTATGTGGGAGCCTCTGCTTGCTGCACTGTCAATAGACACCGCCAAGTCACTGCTTACTGAAGTGGGCCTTGTTTTGTTTGCCAGATGTAGGGCGGCGCAAAATTCAACGTGACGTTGTTGAAGATCGAACTGGATGCCTTCCAGGCTGAAGTCCACGTGACCCCCCTTGCGGGTTGATCACCTGGTTCCTCGCTAAATACGACAAGAGCTCGTGACCGGCTATAAGTTCACTGACCACTCACTTCTGGGACCAGAAGTGAGTACTCGAGGAAAGTTGGATAAACTACCTCGGTGGCCACGGGTTTTTACGAAGGTGTATGAGCTAACTGGCTGTCAACGGCCTTCGTGGTCTTCTGCGAGTTCGATAGTCCAGGAAACTTCTCTTGGTCACCGTATTGCTTCATTCGGGTTTCTTGAGTGCCCCGAGTAGTATGTTCCTACTCGAAAGCCGTGTCATCCTCAGCATGGTAACTGGTTCTCAACGGTATACGATATACGTCAATCGCCCCGCTGTCTTGTGGGTCAGATCTTTAGAAGTAAAGGCTCTGGGCGGGGTCAGCTAAGTCAACTATCTTTCGCAGCCTGGACAATCAAAAAGCTACATGCCCAAACAACATATGGACCAATGCTTCAATGACTTACTGTTCTCTCCCTCTCTCTGTCAACGCTACTCTACGCCAAGGTGTTGGCTGCCGAACATGCTATATCGCGAGCTACAGCATCACTGTTCGGTTATATCATTCCATATTTGTTTAAAACCCATCATTGGTAATTCCCCTCCGTTTCCAAGTCCACAAGACCGTGCCGCCTTGGGCAAGTGTTCTCACCATACGGATCAGGAATTCAGGCCCCAGAGTGCGTCGCCAAGTAATACTAACAGGCCTTTTCCAGCGCCCCGTTCCA